CTTACATCAGCATAAACATCAGTTCTATCCAATGGAATAGAACTGAGAGTCCATACATCTATAGCCAATTGATTTTGACAAGGGTAGCAAGTCCATTCAGTGAGGGAAATACCAGTCGTCAGCAAATGGGGCTGGGACACCTGGATTTCTACATGCAAAAGAATGAAATTGGACCTCTATCTCACATCATATACAAAAATTATCTCAAAATAAATCAACGGCTTAAATATAGGGCCTCAAGCCATAAATCTCTTAAAAGAAAACAGGAGTCAATTTTTATGACAATGGATTTAGCAATTGAATGTCTGTTTGTTTTTGATGACACCAAAGCATGAGCAACAAAAGAAAAAATAGGTAAGTTGGACTTCATCAAAACTAAAAACTTTTGGGTATCAAACGACATTACAAGGAAAGAGTAGAGACAATCTACAGAATGGGAGAAAATATTTACAAATTACATGTTTGATAAGGGCTTAATATCCAGAATATATAAAGAACTCCTGCAATTCAGCAACAGAAAGACAACCCACCCAATACAAAAATAGACTTTTCTCCAAAGAAGATAGCAAATAATCACATGAAAAGATGCTCAATGTCATCAGTCGTTAGGGGAATGAAATTCAAAGCCACTTCACACCTACTAGGATACCGATTATCAAAAAATGGAAAGTAAGCACTGGTTAAGATGTGGAAAAATTAGAAGTCTTATACATTACTTGTGGCAATGTAAAATGGTGTAGCCAATGTGGAAAACAGCATGGCAGTTCCTTAAAAAGTTAAACATAGAATTACCATATGACCCAGCAATTTCACTCCTAGATATATACTCAAAAGAATTGTAAGCAGAAACTCAAACAATTCATTGCAGCATTACTGACAATAGTCAAAAGTTGAAAACAGCCCAAGTGTCCACCAACAGAAAAATTTTTTAAATGTAGTATATACATACAATGGATTATTACTGAGCCATAAAAAAAGAAGTTCTGATACATGCTACAACATGGATGAACCCTGAAATCATTATGTTAAGTGAAAGAAGCCAGACACAAAGGACAAATATTGTATGATTCTACTTATATGAAATATCTTGAATAGACAAATTTATAGAGACACAAAGTAGATTAAAAGTTGCCGGGGGGCTGGACAGAGAGAAGTATGGGGCACTATTGCTTAATGGTTACAAAGTTTCTGTTTGAAGTGATGGAAAAGTTTTATAAATAGATAATGGTGATGGTTGCACAACTTTGGGTTTGACCTAAGAAGTTTTATTAATGGACTAGAGTTGACATTTCAAGGAACACTCATGAAAGACTGAATGACACAAAGAAATGATTTTGATCTTGAAAGGGAGAAAAAATTGATCTGCAGGAACAAATCCCCTTTGTTAAAGTGAAGACCACTTCAGCAGGACTTGAATGGGGCCTGAGTTTCTGGGACCAACAAGGTCCCAGGTGGTGCTGATTCTGCTGATCTTCCAACTCCGGTGTGAGCAGCAGGGGACACAATAGTTAGGATGCACTATTCACAGTGATCCTATTCCCTCTTACAGTGAATTTGATCAATTGATCCAAAACTGAAGATGTTAATGAGCAATAATCAATAACTCTATTACCCCTCTCAAGTAGCATAACTGTAATTTTACTTGGGTTACCAAAACAAATGCCTTACTCCAAAGAAGACAGTCTGAGAGAGATATTTAGCAACAAAGAGGATCAGTATGGGATGAGGCTTGTTATAGCTTGTGCTGGGGGTCAGGGAGGGGAACCATCTTTCCTAATTCCTATGAAGTATTCTAAATATATTTTTTACTTCCATTTATACTTGAGTTATGGCAAGGTTGTTCTCTCTCATAAGAATAAGGCAAAAAATAAAGGAAGAGAGTGAGAAAGAAAGGAAAAGAGGGAGGGAGAGAAGGTAGACGGGAGAGAGGAGACAAGGAAGGAAGGGAGGGAGGGGAGGATAGGGATATGAGAGATTAGATGTCTACATAATTCTTCTTCCCAGTCAAATTCTCATCCAATTCACTTTGGAATATCTTCGGTGATAAACCAATTAGATGAGGTTAACTAGTGTTAACTCTTTCTGCAGTTTATAGAACACATTCATTCGCTGGTGATCACATCTAAGAATATGTTCTTGTTAATTAGAACACCTTAGCAGATTATTGGGCTAAAACAGAGGAAAGGTTGTGCTGGCACATGTCAGGATAACTCTTAAAAGTGAAAAATGATTCTATCATTCAACCCGAAAAACTTGCAGGCATATTCCCATATTTAGGTAACTTCTATCCTTAGAATGAGTCTATTGGTCTCAGGCATTTTATCCCTGTAGTTTAAAAAGGTGTCCCTAAACTTAGGCAGTTTCTGCCTCTTACAAACTCTGTGACCTTGGGAAAATTAATGAATTTCCTTTATGCCTCAGTTTCCTCATCCGTAAAATGGGGGACATGGAAGCATGTAATTACTGAAGAATGAAATAAGGCACTCATTGGCATGCAGCGAGGTTTTAATATATGTGGGCTCTTATTATACGCATGTGCTAATCCCTTATCAAAAAAAAGTTACTTTTTTTCTTCCCAAGGTTTTATACCCAAATGCAAATGAACCTTAAGGCAATGCCCAAGATTGAAGCGATCAGATGTGAAGGATTAAATTATCCCAGAAATGTACAAACCAATGGGAAATACCATGGTTGGCAGGTCAGAGGATATTATGCAATGAATCCAGTGCAGCAAAGGGGTTTAAAGTTTAGGTTTTTGGAATCAGAATGATGAGACATTGAGTCTCAGCTTCTCTAATTACTGTGGCATGACTTTAAGCAAGTCACTTAACCTCTCCAACCCCCAGTTTCCTCATCTGAAAATATTTATTGGAGCAGTAAAACAATTCCTCTTTTGTGAGGATTAAACTAGGTAATTTTTTTAATGTGCTTAGTACAGTGTGTCAATATGTGGTGGCTTAAAAAATATTTTGAATTCTAGCAATATACTCACACTGTCATTTACTGGGAACGTTAGAAACAGATATATGATGGTAGGACCCAGCCTTCTAATTGGTTTCAAGCCAGGTGGGGAGTCCAGACAATCAGATAATGTACAGTACGAGACAAACTACATTTGGATTTTGAAATTCTTCCTGTTAAGATGACATTTCTCTCTTTCCTGTTTCTTTTCCCACATCATTCATTTTCTACCTTGCATATAAAAATTCATGAAAGTTTTCCATCCTGAATTGGACCATCTAAAAGGAAATATTTTCTTGTGAAGAGAGGAAAAAAAAGCAAAGATACATAATTTCTCATGACGTGCCTCTACCTTGTCTAATTTATTTCTTATTAGCAGAAGAATATATTTGTTATAGAATAAAATTCTATGACCAAGAAAGAGACTCTTTTTGGTTTTCGTTTTGCTTTGTTTTGTTTGTTTTGAGTAATCGAAACAGAAAAACAAAATCAAGTAGAGTAGGAAGTGACCATGGAGAGGAAGTCAAGTTGGCAGATACTGAATAACAGAGGGATGAACTAAAAGATGGAATATTTCAAAGATGCAGGCTGCAAATGCTTTGGTAATATGGTGGTGCCTATGATTCCACGCCTGCAAACACTTCTTAAAAAATAAACACATTTTCATTAAAAACAGAAAAGTTAGTTATGTTAAAAAGAAAAACAGCTCAATACATCTCTTTTACCCAAACTCCTTGCTCCTTCTTTTACCAAAAGTCCTTGCCTGGGGGAGTACATTAGCTGTTGAGTCCTTTTCCTTTCCTCATTTTGAGAACTCAACGTGGACTTGTAGAAGTAAAAACATGGCGCTCAAGTGTGGCCACAGCTGTGTTTTACTACCAGCCTTTGAGGGAGGCCTCAAGTCAAACTCCTCCTCATTCAGATCCTACTGGCTTGTTGGGTACTGAGCCAACTGGGGTGTACCTTGCACCAGGTTGCTGAGCCTTTGTCAAGCGAAAAGAGACAAATTTCCACAGGGGAAAGCAGTGAGTGAATAGACAGTTCATGGCAGTATGAGCCATTTCTTATCTCAGAAAGCATTACGGGGAAACTACATGAGGGCAATAAACATACTGCTCAGCATAACATGAAACCAGAAGTCATCAGGAAGTGATTTATCTGTTGTCAAAGGGCAAAGAGTCTGTGGCCATACCCCTTGAACACGCCTGATTATACCTGATCTCTGAAGCTAAGCAGAGTCAGGCCTGGTTAGTGCTTGGATGAGAGACAAAGGGCAAGAGGAAAGAGAGTTAGTCCCTCCGTCTCTGGAGGAAAAAGTAGGCTCTTTGTTTATAGCACATTTAGGATTAATAAATCTTTCTTTACAGTACATTTACTGAGGCGACAATCTGGACATTAAGTGACACTGCTGTGTTTGGTTCTTAAAATGAGCTAATTTTCTTTGATTTTGTATTTCTGTGCATCATTTTTCATTGGGGGGTCACAGGATATAAAGAAGGAATAGGGTAAATTCAGAGGTATCAAGAGAATCAAACTAGATCCACTGATTTAAAGGGTATCACATGAAAGGAAGTGGATATTCCTGCCCCATCCACAGTTCAAAACGCAGCTCCGTTTGAACTCATAAACGTGGGCTATTTCATCACCATGGGCGCCTACTGTTGACATCTACAATGTTGATGAGCCTAAGGTCAAAGAAAGCCACCCACCCAAAAGGCAATTTTGATAGCAACTATTGACAATGAATTCCGTTTAATAGTCTTCAGCTTATATTTTCCAAATCCAAAACTCTTCAGGGTAAGTTACTGCATAACTGTCATTATTGGAAATGCTAGTGGGAATGCTATCAATGTTAACCTCTCTGGGTAAAACTTTTTTTTTTTTTTTGCAATCTCACCATCATTTTAATTTTGTTTACATCTCTAGTCATTTGCACAGTGTTGATGGAGCTGTATTTTTGCTTCAATGTCTATTGCAACATTCTTATTGCGTTCTGCAGGTCCTCCAGTAAACGTTACTTGCAATATTTTTATCAACAGTTTTGGATCAGTCACAGAAACCACCATGGTAAGTGCTACAAGGCCACTGGCAAGAGAAAAACGTGACTTGATTATGCCATGAACACAACCTGTCAAATTTTCTATTTATTGTTCAACTTGCAGGGCCTCCTGTAAATGTTACCTGCAACATATTTATCAACAGCTTTGGGTCAATAGCAGAAACTACAATGGTGAGTGGGACTGAGCACTGAAGCCATCGTGTGAAGGAATGGGATATGCGATCAAAGAGTACTGTTGTATATTTGTAGGACATTTACTGAGTGCCAATTTCCAAGTTCATTCACCTCTAGAAAACAATTAGTTATTTATTTAAAATTCAATAATCTTTTATCCATCATGCCAGAGAAATTTTGGAAACACATGATGTTCGGTTAGATTTAGGTAGAATTATCAGTATTAAGCATGGTTTACAGTTAAGGATATTTAAATATTTGCATCTCCAATGTTTCAGAAATACAAATTTCGAAGTTTGGGAGATATTTTTCATATAATAGGAAGTTTTAACATAATCAAGCCTCAGACATGCTACATTTAAGACAGGGGTCCCCAACCCCCCCCCCCCCCCCCGGGCCTCACATTGTTACCGGTCCGAGGCCTGTTAGGAACCTGTCCGCACTGCAGGAGGTGAGTGGCGGGCTAGCGAGCGAAGCTTCATCTGCCGCTCCCCATCGCCCGCATTACCACCTGAACCACCCAACCATCCCCCCCCCCCCCCCCCCCCCCCCCCCCCCCCCATGAAAAAATTGTCTTCCTCGAAACTGGTCCCTGGCGCCAAAAAGGTTGGGGACCGCTGATTTAAGATATACGCCAAGGAGCTGACCTTACAATGAACACACACACACACACACACAATTTGGTGGCAATAGAAAGTTGTTCCAAGTCCAAAGCAATTACATCACATGCATGGCTTTTCCCAAAAAAAAAATAAATAAACATAAAAAACTAATAAGAAACCATCACACTCTAAGTGCAGACATGTTTCACATACATGAAAAAGAGCTCAGATACTGTAAAATCCACCAAGATTCCTTATCAATGTCAAGATGGTGTTGTTGCCTGTGACACAGCCTATTAGATAAGTAGGCTTACAGTGCTAGGCTATTGTGTGGAGATTACATTTTGGGTAAAACATTTTCTTGGCCCCCATACAATTTAAGTCCTAAGTCAACTGGCTGGTTCAAATCTTCAGTACTATGTAAAGTATACAGTCATATTATTGAATGAGATCGAAATAAACTATAGTTGAGCGTGACTATACTACTATGGTGGCTGATGTCCTAGAAACACTCAAGAAGTGAAATAATGAGCATAATGCCATTGAGAAGTAAAAAATAGTGTTCCCCTGTGTTTATGAATTCTCTCTTTTAGGCTACCAGGATTGTGTTTAACAAATTACTGTACTTTCTGGTGTCCTTAATGTTATAAAAGATTAATTTACCTCTTATCACTCCTTTCCACTGGCAAGTCAGACATAATGCAACTCCACTACCCGTTTTAATATTATTCTGACACAGCATTGTCCAGAAACGAGACTTTTGGGGCTTTGACAGTATGTAGTGCATTAAGAATTTTACCCAACCAGGATAGTTTTGATAGGGTTATTAAATGACTCATAAGAAAAGCTGAACATGGAAAGAAGACTCCAACTCTGTACTTGGCATTCAGTTTCTGTCTCTCCCCTCCTGGTTTTATCCTGCTAACAGAGGGGCAAATCTTCCAGCCGCCCAAATCACTATCACCAGCTTTACACGATGGCATTCAATGACAATATTTGCACGACCTAACGCTGATTGCTTTAATTAGACCCTTAAGTTGCTTTGATTAAATCTCCTTATTGCCTTTTACCCTCAATCAAAAATGTAAATGTGCACCTTTCCAGTGTTCATTAATGCAAGAAAAAGCTAAATATTTAAGGAGATGAAAATGGAAACGATGGATATCCTTGTTTTCCTGTGTCTTTAAGAGCTACTGAAGGTGTTTAATAAATGGGCTGCTTAGGTGCTTCTTGGCCACTTATTAAGGTGTCCTTTGACATGTTTCCTACGCAAAAATTTGGAAATCATTGTCCAAGTGTAATATCAACGGCCTGTCTATTCTGCTGTATGAGACGTACTGAATCGCATGACCAGAAGAATGATGTGTATTGTGCTTCTTTTATTTTATTTCTTGGCTTCTGATGTAATGACAAACTGAATTTGGCTTTTAAAAATATCTTTTATTTTCTTCAATTATGGCTTTTGTGTGAAACTAAAAAAAAATGTTTTTTGAAACTCTACCATGCTTAAATCAAAGAATAAATCATGTCATGTAGGGTAGGGACTGGCAAACATTTTTCTCTAAAAAGCCAGACGGTAAAGACTTAAGACTTTGAGGACCAGACAGTCTCTGTCACAACTACTTAATTCTGCCCTTTTGGCATAAAAGAAGCCATAAACAATAGTAAGCAAATGGGTGTGGCTATACTCCAAAAAAAACTACTTATAAACACAGGCTATGGCCAAATTTGGCCCACAGGCCATAGGTTGCCAACTCCGGGATCTAAGGCATCACTATTTAAAATGGACATTATTCAGGGGCTCATAAGAACATGAGAATTGCTCCACCTTGAAAAGGTCTTACTTTCCCAGACCCCTTAGGCCCTGCCTGGGGACCTACCTGATGTACCCACAGAGTGTCATCACAGCCTGAGCTTCCCTTACCAAAACGCTGAGATTCTACCATCCACGAACATTCTCACAAAATGTGACTCAAAAAAATTAAACAGAAACAGATTCTTCCTTGAACTGTCTTTAGTTGGAGTCAAGACATCAGACCTTTAGGTTTTATGCACAGTAATATATGTAGTCATTGAGGACGTTCATTAGTGCTATGGCGGGGGGATAATAGTTTTGCTTTCTCTATGTTTTCTGGAATGATTTTTTTCCAAGAATGTCTCAGAGTTTTGAGTTTCTGAGCATGTTGATTTCCCTCTCTTCCCTCATGTCCCACTCTTATCCCACAACCCTTGATAGCATTATTGAAGGATTTAGTTTGGATGTTTGTTTCTAAATAAGAGGCAATAATTATCTGTTTTAAGAATGTGATATGACTTTCTTTTGGTTCTATCCAGTCTGCCCTCTTATGTCTGATGAAATCCCACTAAATTACTGTTGGTACTAACTGCCCACAAAGATTAGGCTCACTTACAGACACAGTATTGCCTCTTACTCCTTTGGTATGTTAGTGTTTAAAGACTGTGCTCACAGGACAATATATTTGTGTTATTCTAAGGAATATTTTTATGGATCATTATGATCATGAACATTATTTCAAAATATGTACTTCTGTTCATTAAGAGTCACAGGGATCCGGTGATGTTCATTACCAGCTGACCCTGTGTTAAAAGTATTCAGTGGAACAATTTTTTTTTTTCCTTATGATTCCAAAAGACTCAGAAGACCAGTAAGGGATGTATGATGAGACAGGTTATCTTTCGGTTTTGGAACGTCAGTTTACCATTTCCTTTTCTTTCTTTCCCCTTTTCCTTTAGCTAGTGATGGCAAGTGAATTTACAGGATGAGGAGTGTATTTGCAACCGCCTCCTTCCTACTATAAAGGCATAGTTTGGGAATATCGATAATGTCAGTAAAGGTCAAGAGTATTTGCATGCCATCTGCATACAGCTGTCCCCAAGGTTGGGCCATCAGAAAATGGAGAAGAGATAGTCTCCTCAAAGCTTCCAAATGACTGCCTGGAAGGATGTGGGTGAATAGAGTGTGATTTGGACCTATGGGTGCTGGAACACTCCCCATGCTACAGCAGCAGACTCAGACCCTTTCCTCATTTAATATTGAGAGACTGCAATAGGGGGAAGGGGGTAGAAAGAGCTGAAGGTGTACAAAACGTGTCCACTTGGAGAGCATCTCCAGAATATGATTCCAGCTCCCCAAACTCTTCCCCAAATTCCACATGCTCTGCTGGTTACTGCTACAGGGTGAAGAGTTGTTTTATCTCCGATCTGAAATCACTTTCCTAAAGAACTGGATAAGGTGTAGACAGTCCCTTAGGAGAATGCAGGCTACGCTGTAACTGCTGGAATGACATTACAGACCTTTCATTCTATAGGTGCATAAGCAACTCATAAGGAGATGCTAACTTACCAGGAATAGCAGGTAGCTACATTCCTTATTTCTGAATTTTTAAGGGAGAACCAAGAATCTACCTAACATTTTGTTAATCTGAGATATAAGGTGTCCTTGGTCTCTAAATTAACAATACAATGTTAAAACCTGGATTCATCATAAAGCAACTGCCCTCCCTCCCATAATTTCAAATTCAAAGCTAACTTCCCATATTCAAAGCTAGCACAGACTCAAGATGATGAAAACTTCACTGCAGTGTAGCTAGAAGTTAAAACTGAAGTGCCATATAGGTCTGTGGGAAATCCACAAAGCATATCTTTGTCTATAATAACTTTATAACATAACTGGATTGAAAAATATATACCTATAAAAATAAAAAGAGAGCAGTAAAGTTTAATAACAATATTTATGAGACAGAGTGGCAATCTCTATGTACAAATGCTACACTAAATATAATAGTAACAAAATAATTCAACTTAAGGAAACAATCTTTGTGGCAATGGGCATAGAATTAGAAGGTACCAAGAAAAGTAAAACTTTAGAAATTCTAAATTTGATATGAAATAATAGTATGGAATATAGGTACTTGTATTAACTGTGCTAAGAATATAATAAAGATTCTATGACTTACACATAGCTTTTGAAAAAATAAAAGATATGTGTGTGTATTTACACACATACACATGTGCACACATACACATATATATACACATATATATATAATATATATACATACACACACACTTTTTAATTTGAATTTTTCTATTACCTAATCTAGTACCCAGAGAGTCAATCATAGGAAAACAAATTTTAATACAAGGAAATACGTCATTTATTTGAAGTAGAATCTGTCTCTGGAGAGAGAAGGCAGTATAAAAGAAAATTCAGTCTACACTTAAGCATGTCTCTTAATATTTACTTCTTTAATATTTCATTAAACCTAGAAGCAAAAATAAAGACAAAGAAAGGCTACAGAGCAACATAACTATCTCCTGTGGTTTGGAATATCTTGAGAGAATAAACCTATCTGTAAATAAACAGAGGTGATGCACAGATAAATCATGCATCAAATTTGTACCCTACATTGAAAATGATAGTGAACTGAAAGAATTACAGAGGCACAGCCCCGGAAAATCTTTTCTTTGGCTATCTACTTCTCTATATCCTTGGGCGTCCTTTTCTATTCTTAAAGGTTTTAAGGGTTGCCATTTATTTTGGAATAATGTATAGCATCATGAAAAAAATTATGGAAAATTTTAATTCCTATACATTATAAAGAACAAACACTCCCAAAATATCTAATAAAAGTCTTGTTTCATATAATTCCTGTCATTGTGGAGTAAAATGTATTTTCTCCTCTAACTTTTCCACTTATTCTTGCTTATGAATAGGCTAATTAATTTATTTTAAATTAACTGTTAGATATTTAATGGTTCTATTGTGATAGGATAGATTCAGTGCTCTTTTTAAAGTTCTGATATTGGGAGAACCTATTTTATTATTTTAAATAGATAAAATTCAAAATAGAAAAGCAGGAAACACTGGAGAAGAATACTGGTGGGAAAGACTTTTTAAAAAGATGTATTAATACATTAGCTGGGAAATTTTATATTGAGTTTTTTTTTTAAAAAGGTCAATGTTTTCATATTGTATGTCACCAATGTAATATTCTCTAGAGTCTCTCAAAATGCATCTTTAAATCATTTTCATGTTCAAAGGAGCACTGCAATGATGTTGTCCTGGTGATTCTGCCGCCCAGTGCTCGCCGTCTGGCGTCTCATGGCCTCTCCCATTTTATGTTTCCTTCCTGGGTGGGGGGCCTCAATGGCCTCCCAATGGCCTAAGAAATTTAACCCATTCACCTCTGTTATTTCCAGCTGTCATTACTTCTTGTACTTAGAGTTTTTCTACCTCCAGAATTGGCTAAGAGATGACGTCCTCTTCTTTCCTACTGAAACAAGCTCATAGACCCCCACACGCAAAATTTTATGAAGGATAATTGGTTCCCACCCTAAGGGAAATAAAAGGTGTAGATGTCACACAGTGAAGACACTGCATTTTTTTCCTTCAGGAAACCTTAAGAAAATCTCACAGTTGATCTATCCAGTGCCTATTTATACGCAAATTGGATTATTATATTTTCAATAGCCCCTGTTTTGATTTTCTACAAATCACACATTCCCACTCTTTACTCACACAAAACTCCAAAGGTTCCAGTCACTCCTGTTGCCAATGAAACACTGAACTGATAATCTCTTTCCAGTTACTACCCTCTGGTCCCTTTGGACAATCCCCCAAATGCAAAATATGTGATGGGGAGAACTTTGAGGTTCTGCCATCCTCTTGGCTCACTCATGGAAGGAGGGGGCAGCCAGTGAGCAAACAGAATGGGATGGAAGCCTGGCTGGCCTCACAACAGCACCCTCTTAGGTCTGGGAATTTGCTGTGCAAGCCTGGTATAATCCCAAATAAAAGTCAGCTGATAAAATTTTCCAAGTCAGAAAGTCCTTATGTTGTACAACAAGGAAACGTACAGTTATTTCTTTTAATATTTCAGCTTTTCCTAATAAGCTGGGTTCTGATGACTGATTTTCAGACGTTAGTAACTACTTGATTATTAGCATTCTTTAAACCCACAGTGGGCACTCGTTCTAAGAACTGCCACTTCCAAAATACTCTACCAGCCTGATCATCAGGATGGCTGTATTTGGGGGGGAAAGTCATGGGAATTTGGAGAGTTTAGTAATAAGCAGAAGGAACTAGATTTGAAGCTCTCTTCCATACACCCTGATCTTTATAACTTACTTACAGATTTTCTTTTGGCTCTAAAGGGATTAACCAAAACCGACCAACCCGAGGTGGTCTCCATTGTACCTTATAGAGTAACCAACCATCTGAGTTTTGCCTAGGACTGAGTGGGTTCCCTGAAAATTTCATTTTTACCTGAGGCTAAAATGGGGAAGTTCTCAGGCAAACCAAGGACATGTTGGTCACTGTTAGAGAAAAGTAAACAATGACTCAAAATCCAGGTGCCCAAACAAAGATGTGGAAACAAAGCAAATGAAGGTGAAAAAGGTAAAGGAAAGAGAGTAAAATGGGATGAGTATATATCACCCTAAATGACCACAGTGGCAGATGTGGACCACTGTTAGCTCTGAACCATAGTCCTGCTTGACTAGGGAATACTGTTGAAGCCTTTATTGGGTGTGCTCTGTCAAGCGAAGCAACAGTTTCCATGAACCTAAAGACCTTTGAGTAGAAATCCTCTGAAGAGAAGTTACTGTCCCAAGCTGATTCATTAGCACAGAAGAAAATTCCCATGCCAAGTGGGAATGACAGGGTGTACCTGAGGCTCCCACAGGGAGGAACACCTTTATCAAAAGGTGCTCAGATTAGGAAAACATGAAAAAGATTTCTGTTTTGGGAATGACAGGGCGTACCTGAGGCTCCCACAGGCAGGAACACCTTTATCAAAAGGTGCTCAGATTAGGAAAACATGAAAAAGATTTCTGTTTTGAAATCTCCAGTTGACTACTGTAGATACAACCCATTCAGAGAAATGATAAAATATTTAAGAATTTCAAAAGTAAGTAGCTGTAAGGGAATTATCTTGTCAACATGAACCATCTTAATATTTATGTTGATGAATTTAAAAAATATTGGCCCATCATGTCAGAGTTTTATGATAAGATTTCTACTACCAAAATTACAGAGTGGGTTTTCTTCTGCCCAGAGCATCTGAGCAGATTGAAAATAGAGATCATGTCATTTCTGATTTGGAAAATGAATAGGTTTTATTTGACAATCTGCTATCACAGACTGACTCCTGTACTTATCATTACCTTTTTCTACAGCAAAATCAGATTGAGTTAGTATTATTTCCTCCCAGAACGATTAAGTGAAACAAAAATTCAACCAGCTCAACTTGTTCCATTAGTGTTCTGCTTTGGTCAAGTCTTCTTTCCTTCTCGTCTCTGTTCCCACTCCTAATAGAATTGAGTGGTTTATTTTGACCAAGATATACACAGCTGGGTTTACTCAGATACCAACACTGCATGCATCGAATCAGGCAGAAGAGTGAGGGGAAAATATGCCAGAGTGGGCAAGAAGTAACGCTTACGCATGGCGTTTCTGTAGGACTACCGAGTGAATATTTTTCTGAGACAACAGTGGAATGATTCACGGCTGGCTTATAGCGAGTACCCTGATGATTCTCTGGACTTGGACCCATCGATGCTGGACTCCATTTGGAAACCAGATTTGTTCTTTGCCAATGAGAAGGGGGCCAACTTCCATGATGTCACCACCGACAACAAGTTGCTTCGCATTTCAAAAAATGGCAAAGTGCTCTACAGTATCAGGTAAGCTTCCTTCGGCTGCCCGCTGCTCCCTTCTCCATTTTTCTCCTGACCTAGAGCTGCATGATTCTGCAGGGCAAGATGTATATAAATATTATCCTTTGTGGTCTCTTGTTTATTATTTAAACTTAAAGTTGGTGAGAGTGCCAGTGGTTCCCATGGTCTCAGAAGTGTAATTCTCCATAACCAAAATATATTTGGTTGGATGGTGGGTAGGTGATGGTATCATATAAATATCTGCACAAATATGTTTTTATTTATTTGTTTATTTTATTTATTTATTTTTGGCTGCGTTGGGTCTTCGGTGCTGTGCACGGGCTTTCTCTAGTTGCAGTGAGCCAGGGGTACTCTTCTTTGCAGTGTGCGGACTTCTCATTGCGGTGGCTTCTCTTGTTGCAAAGCACGGGCTCTAGGTGTGCAGGCTCAGTAGTTGTGGCTTGCGGGCTCTAGAGCGCAGGCTCAGTAGTTGTGGCTCACGGGCTTAGTTGGCTCCATGGCATATGGGATCGTCCCGAACCTGTGTCCCTTGCATTGGCAGGCAGATTCTCAATCACCGCGCCACCAGGGAAGCCCCATAAATATGTTTTTGATTGGTTCAATAAAGGAAGTGCAGGCCCTTTAGTTCAATTACCACTGAGCATAACATACAAATTCTCATTTCAAATAATTATGCCATTCTATAGCATTTAAACACACACACACACACACACACACACACACACACACACACACAGATTCAATGGCTCAGTATCGTCACTGACAGCATACTTTGAGCTCAGTGAATGGAAAACTGGTTCTAATCCCAGATCTACTTCTAACTAAACATGTGATCTTGATCTGTTAACATTTCTTGGGCTTGAGCTTGGGATAGATGCATTTTTGCTTTTTTATTCAAATATGATCTTCTCCAGAATATTCTCCAGAATACCACCCTACAATCAAAATAATCACTCCCTTTTAGGAACTCTCATAATAGTTTCTCTGTGAATCTGTAAGTCTCTGACTTCTTCCTATCCCATATTTTGGCTACTTCTGTACACAAATATAGCATAAGAGCATAGACTTTTGGAATCAGACAAACCTAGAATTAAACTGAAGCTTTGCCACTTACTAAGTTACATAAGCTATAACCTTCAGTTACCTTAATTGGAAAATGGGAAACACCATATTTAACTCAGAGTATTCTTGTGAGAATGAATTATATACAGCAGAGGTCAGCAAATATTTTCTGTAAAGGGCAGATGGAAAGTATTTTAGCTTTGCCAGTCAGATTGTCTCAACTCTCTCAGAGCTACTCAACTCTGCCATTATAGCACAAAACAGCCATAAACAATACTCAAACAATTAGGTGTGGCCATGTTTCAATAAAACTTTATTTACAAAAACAGGTGGTGGACTAGATTTAGCTCTTTGGCCATAGTTTGCCAACCCCTGATATAGAGTAAATAAAAATAATTGCCACAGTTCATGACACAGAGTATGTTCTCAATAAATGAAATGATGGCTGTTTGCATTTTTAAGTTAACATTCTTTCTAAATAATAAGCTCTTTAAAGCCAAGATATTCGGATTTTTCATCTTTTGTAACCCCTCCCAAAGGGCCAAGACAGTGTATTGTATATGAGAGAAATCGAATACACTGAATAAATATTGACATGTTAAAGATTCTTTAGAGAATTCCCCCTTTCTCTCCAATCTTATTACCAACAAAAAAAAAAGAGGCAGCTAGTGTCTTTGCAAATGATTTTCACAAGTTTGCAGACTCACCACCACCAAAACTGCATTTCACAACTCTATATACAATTTAGGTCTGTACTGTAGATTCCATTCTTAACCTAGTAATTTCACAGCTTGCTGGTGGCAGATAGCTGCAATGTCTTTTGGAAGGAAAGAGGCTGCTCATTTGTAAAAAGTGGCAAAGTCACCGCTTCCACAAAGAACCAGGGAAACTTCCCCCACTTTATTTTTAAGAAACTTTACATTTATTTTTATAAAAATTTTTAAGGAAACACAGAATATTCCACATGGTGATGCATTTGGTGTAAGATGCAGTATTGGGCACAACCTAAGTTGATGTGACCTGATGAAATGGGACATATATAGAGCATGGTGCTGGGAAGGAGAGTTATAAAAAGCAGCACAGGGTATCAGCTGCTCCAGCTAACCCTCTGGGCCTTGGGTGGCAGTTGCTCTAGTAAATACCTGGCATCATGCACTGCCGAAATAAAACCAGGGTTTGTTTTTTTTTTCCTTCTGTTCTATAAAGGCCCTTCCATTCTAGAACCACGAAGAATAGAATGTCCCCGAGACTCGATCCAGAGGCAATTCTTCTATCTCTGGTTCCCAGCAGGCTCTGAAATACCCCACAATTGTTTTGGGTTGGGTAGAGTTTGTCCTGTGGCAGAGTGGTTTAGACTTTTCCTTCACTGTGGGTATTCTATGAAATCAGGGGAAAGACCCCTGGTGCAGGAGAACTGGGCATGCCATTTTAGGGAAACACAGCTCCTGGCAGATTTGAATTGCAGGAATCTAATTACTTGCCTGGAAGGGTTTTCAATGAGCCAGACACGGTGCTGGGCCTAGAGATCCAGAGGTGAGTAAAATGTGGTCTCTGTCCTGGAAGGGCTCCAGTCTAACAAGGCAGGCAGACATAAGATAAATTGAGTAGTAGGGATAAATAGGGAACAAGGAAAAGAAAAGTGGCTCTAACTTTGCGAACGAATTCTGTGACTCAAGTACTGTTAGAATTTTGGGGTCGGCACGCACACTCCTGTTTACTTGAGTCACTGGACTCAATCTAACTAGAGGATAAGGAGGAATTAGTGCTAATATAGGCCCAGCTGCAGGTCCAACTCAAGTTTAAAGTACAGTTTTTGGTGTCTTAAAGGTGCTGGAAAGTCCTTGCTGACATTCCATTAGGAAGGACTTTCCCTCAACTCTAAGGTTCACAATGCAAATACCCCCAGGAGAGGGATAACGCTATCCTCAATTCATACTAAGCCATAAAGAGCTGATACGAAATTTTCTTTCTGATAGTAGGTTTAATGTCTGTGAAGAATAGTGACAGAGAGCATGTTGGATGCCTGAGAGGAAAAATCAGATAGGACGAAGAGAGTTAAGAAAGATAGAAGGGAGGCATACAACAGAAGTACCAAAGATAAACTCATGAATTGCCTCCACCTGACACATTTTAATAATTACTTCAACACTGGGCCACGTTAGAAGAATAATGTTCTATGGTTATGTTTTGTATTTGAATTTTCCTAAAACCTAAAGCAAATGGATGGTAGCGTTTCAGCCAGGAAAAGTTCTATGCTTTCTTAGCTTCGTAGGAGCAGAGGTAGAATTAACTCTGCATGGAAACCAAAGCCCAAGGCTTTGATGGCCAAACAGAACACAGAGAACTCTGCAGCCCATTGACTTCATAACAAGCAAGGTCACACTCCCCAAGAGGTAATATATCTGTTTGCCAGAAGACCAAGATTTTAAAAAGGGAGTGACAATAGACCGGAAATCCATACACGTCCTGCAGATTCAAACACCTGAGGCACCTGAGTAAAATTTAAACAAATCTTTTAAATAGGAACCAAAGGTCTTAGCTCAGTGTTAGAAAATTTCTATCCAGTGATGCAGGACATAGTCTCTGATGATGAAGATGTCAAATCTATTTCTGCCCACTTATCCTCTGATTACTTTTTTAATTATTCACTTCCGTCATATGTTTGATCTTACTCTGTTTTCATGTTTTTGTTGACCCACCCCATTAAGTATTGACCATTTTTGACCAAAGTGTAAACAAGGACACACATCTTGCTTTGTACACCCTCTTCAGAGACAGTCAAATTCTAAATTCATGTTACTTTAAAAGGCCTGAATCCACAGTGGAATAACGAGGTGAGCCTTGGGTATAATACATATTAGTGCTCAAACAATATTTACTGAATTGAATATAACGAATTGTAGTAGAAGTCAGGGCATCATGACCTATGGTATGCAATATGAAAGAGAAAAGGAGAGGGTGAGCATTTTTGTTTTTTTGTGTTTTTTTTTTATTTTGTTTTTTGTTTTTTGCGGTATGCGGGCCTCTCACTGTTGTGGCCTCTCCCGTTGTGGAGCACAGGCTCCGGACGCGCAGGCTCATGGCTCACGGGCCCAGCCGCTCCGCGGCACGTGGGATCCTCCCGGATCCCCGCGGCACATGGGATCCTCCCGGACAGGGGTACGAACCCGCGTCCCCTGCATCGGCAGGCAGACTCTCAACCACTGCGCCACCAGGGAAGCTCGAGGGTAAGCATTTTTAAAGAGAAGCAGCTGGTCTCATATGTCCACAATGTCTTTGCTAGTATTTGTTTTCTTCCCTTACTTCCCACTGCTTCTGAGACTTCTCCGCCAAAACTCTGACTTTTATAGAAGCATAAGATTTTTTTTTAATTGAAGGTATTACAGGGCAAAATATCCTTGTTTTACTGATTAGGAAGTGACTTCTTTAAAAAGTTAAATGAGCTAAAATAATGGAGCCCATAAATAGGAAAGCTAGGACAAGAATCAAAGCTCTTGACTTCTATTTCAGAGCTATCATCTCCTACCCCACGTTAATTCTTCATTTACTCCAACTCAAATCCAAAGACACAAACAAATACAATACCAAACACATGTCATTTTGGGGACTAGTGGGGACCTTTTGGGGACTCAATTTTCAAAGGACTAGTGGAGGAAGAAGGTAAGATTTAAGATGAGAATATAAAGTATCTTAAAATTTCGCAAATGTCTAAAAAGACTTTAAATTCAAGATGCCACAATTGACCTTCAAATAGGAAGCTCATTTGATAGTTTTATACAGCATGTATAGCTTATATAGCATATCTACTTTCTGAAAACTTTTACTATCCCAGGGATCAAAGGGCTGAAAAGACCCATTAAAGTTATTAAGTCAACTCCTTACCTTCAGACAACCTGTTGAGAACTTATTCTATTTTTAAAGACCTTCAGAGAAGGAGATTTTAT